TATTATTATTATTATTATTATTAAATAAGTGAATATTTTCTTGATTTCTGTTTTTATTTGGTCCACCAACTTCATCAAACTGCCAGCACTTCTTGATTGGCAAATTTATCTGTAACTTCATCTGCAATGATAGAAAATGCTGCAACATCTTCCATGAGAAGTCTTATAAGCACAGAAACAATGTGATCACCGTTGATTTTGATAATTTCATTTTACACTGTCTTTGAGGTACATTAGGTATTTTTTCGTGCTTTTAGGAAGTGATCCTGCAGTGTTTTATCGCTCTCAGCTAGGAGATCTAGCACTCCCAAGAAGTTCCCATTGTTTATAGATTTTGACGATGAATCATCCCTATGGCCTTGCAAAGGAATATTTTGCCTTCCAAAAACCACTATAGCCTTGATTATCAGTCTCAGTATGTGTAGATTCTTCTTAAATGGCTCTTTTTTCTGAGATGATACCATGTATGTCACTGTTTTTGTTGGGTCCTGGTGAAGCTGACATAGTGTTGCTCCAGCTTCAACAGCATCTTTATGGCAACTGTTGGTGCCTTTCTAGGAAGTCATCTTTCCCAGTGGCCTTACTTAGGTTGGTGAATGGCTTGGTTAACAATGTTCCTGTTTTATTTATGCGGGAATCTTTGGGAGGAGTGATAACGCAATACTCGCAGAATCCACCTAGCGTAGCATCACTGTATACAAGCCAAGATGATTGAAATGTCAGTGTTTTCACGGAAGCATTTTTTCCCTTTATTACAGTTTCATTCATGTACTTATAGCTGGCATACAGTATGGCCTGAAATGCATCTTCAGGTACTTAACTTTGTCATCATTAGAAAGAGAGTTAAGTTTGACTTTACCGCTTACAATATTTCCTACATCATATTCTTTGTATGCGTTCTGCAAAGTGCTCTGTGAATCATTGTCAAGAATTTGATAGTGTGACTCTTGCATGCTCTTTTCAGGGGTAGGATACGACACTGTAATAGGTTCACGTAACGTAATTTCATCAGAGCAGGGTTTTGGCTGTACTGATTCTGATGTACGAAGATACTTGAAAAGTGTTCCTTGCTGCTGCATTTGTCTTCACTTTCATTGAACTTTTGGAGTAAACTCAGCTTCTTTGCCCCCTTACCATGACTGGCATTCGCTTATTAGTCTGTGACCTCACCTAAACACACATGCGGCCCCATCCGATTACCTGACCTAGATGGTGGCCATGTTAATCTCTGACATAAAGTGTTCAGTAACAATAAACAAATGAAATCGATATATCATGAAGCAATCATTTTTGTAAAGTAAATCAATGTAAATCTTGGAACAACCAGCCAGAGAGTGTTGTGATGACACTGAGTGTAAGCTATTTCAAGACCAGACTTGACCAACACTGGAGCAGTTTCAGATACATTCAGGATCCACAGTGCATGTGACCGACCGGTGAACAGAAATAAAGTCTCAGATGTTTCACATCAATTAACACCTCTCCTGTGAGCTATTGTGGTGTGGCAAACTATTGCGGGCCCGGAAGCTGTTAGGTAAAGGCTGATAATCCAAGGTCAACCGGTGTGGCAAACTACCGGGTCAGGTCACTTATCATGGCGCCAACTGTCGAGGTACACCTTGTGAAGGGTAAACTGTCGTGACCTAACATAAGTGTGTAGGTGATATAACAAAATTACAGTATACAGTAATCCTGTGTTTTTCGCGGGAATTACGTTCTGGAAACCCCCACGAAAAGCCAAAACCACGAATACTCCTTTAGGAATCACTGTACCTGTGGCCACCAAGCAGCTCAGGTAGGTCATGCACTTAACCACACCATGCTCTCCATTCACGGCTCAGTGGTCACACTGATCACTGATGCACTGTACCGACATTTACTAACTTCATAATTTGAAACTAATCATATTGTAGTACAGTATACTAATGGAAAAGCGTAAACATAGTTATATACAAAAAAAAATTATTTACAAGTAAATAAAAAAATTTATATTTTGCTGAGGTCGGCAACACCCGCATTGTCAGCCTTACCCTGCTGTCCCAGCGTCTGCCCGCCCTCATGCAGTCACGCCAGCCAACCAGTCCTCTTCCACCCACATTCCTCCACTTAAAGACTTATATTCTGATAAAAGACACAAATAAATTGTCAGTCTTCACCACATCTCGAGCCATAGCTCATACCACCTCTGAGCTTGTCCAATAAACTGTTTTTTTCCGTTAAGGTCATCACTATTCTTGATCTCTTAGTCACTTTAGAGTCTTTGCTAGTAATATTTGCCTTTGATGAGACTGGCTTACTTCCCGGAGCCATGTGGAATGCACGTGGGAGGACAAACAGAAGAGGCAATCACAGTAGTGTTCACAGTATGGTAGGTACGTGTGGACTGAGGCTTCTCGGAGCAGAGGGTGTCTGAGGTGGGAAAGGGTAGCGTCTGTTTGCCGCACTGTACGGGTGACAAATTTAAAATATTTGTTTTTATAGGATATTTTATATACTGTACACTGTACAGTGAACCCTCACTTTACGCGGTCAATTGAACCCACGGCGGCCCGCGTAAAGCGAGAAACGCATAAAGTGAACAACATAACATATGGGATTAATTGAAATAGAGACCGGGTCGACTCCCAAACTCCACTTTTTCGCGACACAATACGTAAAAATAACATCTTAACTTTATGGTGGTATGCACACACACATAATATAGAAGGGAACAATCAATAAGAGAATAATATACTGTAGGTTAGGTTAGAAAAAACAAGGTTTGGGTTAACACTTACGTTAGTAGAAGAGATGGGTCGGTGTACGGGAATGGAGGCTGGTTCCGAGGCAGAGGGCAGGCTACTGGCCCTCAGGTGAGTCTTCATCACTGTCATACACACTTATTAGTGCCTCCCTGACAAATCCCTCAAAGTCACCATCACTGTCTCTGTCACTATCACTGGCTTGGGCTTGATCATAGAAGCACCTGTAGACTTTGTGATGTTCCTGTGCTCCTTTATCGTGGCTGCATCCTTCTTAATTGTCTGGATCGTAGATTCGTTAACACCATCCTGGCGCGCGAGATCAACCTGTCTTGTTCCTTTCTCCAACTCTTGGATGATCTTGCATTTAATTTCGTAGCTTAGGGAACGTCGTATCTTCTTTGGCTTAGGGCGGCTGGGTCCAGATAATGCAAGGTTTCTTTGTGGTGGTGGTGGTGGTCCGGTGGAAGCCATTCTTATGGAATAATGGATACCGATATACACGGTGTAGCCGGGAGGGGTGTAACTGACGCAGGTAGGTCAAGGGGCTTGAACGCTCCCGCGGCGGGGCACGTCATAGTACATTAAACCACTCACAGCTAGCGGGGCAGGGAGGTAAGGATGCTTGGCCCAATCACAGTCCGATACGTCATATGACATCACCGATAACACAACAAAGACATACACTGCGCAACCTACTCGCGCCGCTTATCCAACATGGCGGGATTGCGGGAGAGATGGCGGGAGGTTTGAATCCAAAAATGGCACGGCGCAAGAGGACCGCCAGTCGCTCTCCACGTAAAAGGGTACACGCACCGCGTAAAGTGAGCATTCCATGTTCGGCAGGGTACCGCTTAAACGTGGAAAATCGTAAAGTGAAACCGCGTAAAGCTGGGTTTTACTGTATATATAATTTTTTAGTAAAAAAAGTCGCGAATGGTTAAAACCGCGATAAAAATAAAAGCGATAAACACGGGATACTGTATACAGTATTAATTATTATACAGGGGTAATTATTTATTTATTTTGTTTTTGTAAAAGAAAGTTAGTTTAAAATTAATACAGCAATAATACTGTATACATACAGTTGTATCCCACTTAACGTGGTTTCACTTAACGCGATTTCTCATATACGCGGTGCCTCGCCAGAACCGAACTTTCACTTAACGCGGTTCATCTACTCATATATGCGGGAAGCGGCGTGGGCACGATGCGCACAAGGTCGCCCAGTCATCAAAACATTACCGAGTTCTTCACCCGCCACCCACCACAGCCGGCCCAAGTCAGTGATAGTGATAATTATAGTGAGAATATGGACTTATATGGACTTTGAGGGGTTTGACAAAGAGGCCCTGCAAGCCTCTGTGGTGAATAGTGATACAATTGATACAAGTGATACAGGTGAGGGCCAATAATCTGCCCTCTGCCTCGGGACCAACCCCCCCATCCCCATGTGCCCAGCCATCTTTTCTACTAATGTAAGTGTTAAAAAACCTAATATTATTGATATTTCTCTTAATTATTAATTGTGTGTGCATACCATCATAAAGTTAAGATAATATTTTTACTACAACATAGTTGTGTGTCGTCAAAAAGTGGAGTTTGGGGGTCGGGCCAGTCTCTATTGGAATTAATCCCATATGTTCTCTTGTTCACTTAACGCGGTTTTCACTTAACGCGGTACCTTATGGGTTCAATTGACCGCGTTAAGCGAGGTACTACTGTATAGAAGATTTTATATTATGAACTGCAGTAAATATATATTTAGGAAAAAATATCGATTATTTTGTGATACAAAATTGCAGGAGTTCAATGCTGTATTAAAGAAAAAGGATTGGAATTTTCTGATGAAAAAGGGGGTGTTCTGTGAACCTCCATGAACTCTTCCCCTCCTCCCGGATCTGCCCTTGCATTTGGCAAGTATGAGATAATTTCAGAGCCGGCTCTAGGCTTTAGGGGCACCTAGGCAAGACATGATTTGCCACCCCCCCCCTCATCTCATCCAATCCCACCCCTCCCGGCCTCCCCTCCTCAAAAGGAAAGCAAATCAGTACTAACATTTGTTGTTGCTGCAATTTATTATTACTCCAGTAATTTACATATCATTAATATTTATAAAATCTAGGATCTAAAGTTTTTGCTTCCTGGTTTTCTTTGAAGCAAAATTGTCTATAATGTCATCATGACACATGTTTCCTGACAGCATTATTTATGCTAATGAAAGCATGCCCAGTAAGCCTTTCCTGAGCCATCGTATACCGTAGGTATGTTTTGATAAGCTTAAGCTTTGAGGAGCTCCTCTCTGTTGAAGCTGCAGTTACAGGCAGAGTGACTGCTATCCTCAGGGCTGTCCACATGTTTGGATAAAGCTCTTTAATCTGCTTTTCATGTATATATTTAAGAGGTTCCAATGCTGTCATATTATCTGAGGGAACGTCTGGAAGATTTCTCATCCCAAAGTCCAGTTCTTTCCCATCAATATCTGACTCTCCACCATAGCTCAGGGTGTCACTCAGCTCCTCACATTGTGTTGTGAGTGAATCAGTGGACAGTTCTTTGAAGTGAAAGTTAACTCCAAATTCGTCTCTAACTTCTCCCAGGCTCTGGAACCTTTCATTGAGTGATGTGATGGCAGAGTCTACCACCATATTGAAAAAAGACCCTTCAAATCTTCTCAAAGTATCAGAAATTGGCTCATGTGGAGATTCGTATCCAACGTGTCTCTTCGTCGTTCGAAGTCTCTTTTCCTTTAATACAGCCTCCACATTCATTTCCTCGCACATGTCCTTAGCTGATGCTTGTGCTGAGACAAATCCATTCTCACGGTAGCTCACCAAGGAGGCTTTAGTGTTCTTGAGTAAACTCATAGCCACATCAAGCTGCATGGTAGTAGACTGCAAGAGTTTGGTCACTTGTATATGTTGCAGAATTTCATACCATACCACGGTGCATATAAAAAAAAACCAGTAAGGCCCAACTTCCTCCACCAGTGACTGGGCCTCTATCCTTGTCACAGGGTCTGAGTTTAGTTTGATAACTCACAGCCTCTATAGCTTTGATATGGCTTTCCCACCTTGTATCTGACCATGATTTCAGGGAGATGTCTACCCTGTTTTTCAGTATTGCTCATTGATGTGTTGCAGCTGAAAACATTGTAAACAGCTTCTGAAGAAGTTCTAAGTACCCTAATGCATCTTGGGAACTTTTAGTTCAGGGTATGTGCAGCACAAGACACAAAGAGTGCACAGGGATTTATCACCAAAAACTGTGCTTGCACTCCCTTGTTTTTCCCTTTCATGTTTGATCCATTATCATAGGACTGACCCCTACAATCAGCAAACATTATGTTCAAGTTCTTGAGTTTCTCCAAATGAGGTCTGCCTTGACCTGTTGTCTCTGTTGCTTCTAAAAAGCCAATAAAATGCTCTTTGACCTCCGGGGTGTCTTCTAGCGTTACACTCCTCAAGATGACTGACATTTGCTCTTGATGGCTGATATCAGGTGTGCAATCCAGTTAAGATTTTCTCCAGGATTTTGCCACTGATTGACTCGATGAGCTCATTTTGAATTATTTTACAAGATAGGTGACATGTCTTCCTACTCCACTCTCAATTCTTTCAATGTGTTTCAAAATAGGATCAGATTTAGCTATAAGCTCAACTTCTTTCAGGAAGTTCCCATTATCTGGCTGATATAGTGTGTCAGTGGACCCCCTCAAGCCAAGATTTCTCTCAGCACAATTGCATGCATACTAAAACATCATTAAATTTGAAATTATATCTTGACTGTAATATACAACTAAGGGGTTTGTGTGTTGAGAAGCAATTAAATTTAAGTGGAGTTGTAGTACAAGGATAAAGAAGTGAACTGAGATCTGTAAGGCTGCAAGTTAAAAACCCCACAATTTCAGTGGACCCAGATGCAGCAAAGGGAGGGAGGGAGGGAAGTTCAAAGGTGTGTGCATGTCTCTCTCTCACACACACACACACACACACACACACACACACACACACACACACACACACACACACACACACACACACACACACACACACACACACACACACACACACACACACACACACACACACACACACACACACACACACACACACACACACACACACACACACACACACACACACACACACACACACACACACACACACACACACACACACACACACACACACACACACACACACACACACACACACACACACACACACACACACACACACACACACACACACACACACACACACACACACACACACACACACACACACACACACACACACACACACACACACACACACACACACACACACACACACACACACACACACACACACACACACACACACACACACACACACACACACACACACACACACACACACACACACACACACACACACACACACACACACACACACACACACACACACACACACACACACACACACACACACACACACACACACACACACACACACACACACACACACACACACACACACACACACACACACACACACACACACACACACACACACACACACACACACACACACACACACACACACACACACACACACACACACACACACACACACACACACACACACACACACACACACACACACACACACACACACACACACACACACACACACACACACACACACACACACACACACACACACACACACACACACACACACACACACACACACACACACACACACACACACACACACACACACACACACACACACACACACACACACACACACACACACACACACACACACACACACACACACACACACACACACACACACACACACACACACACACACACACACACACACACACACACACACACACACACACACACACACACACACACACACACACACACACACACACACACACACACACACACACACACACACACACACACACACACACACACACACACACACACACACACACACACACACACTAAAACAATAAGTATCCAGTGAGGTGAATTAAAAGATCAGCTGTTGAGGAACTTACTGCTTTGCAACACTGGTGCATGTTACACTCCTTTCCACTCCATCTCCCTAATCACCCACGCCTTTCTGCTTTCTCACCCCATATTTTAAATGTTATATAATGTAATGTTGAAGGGATACAACTTTGCTCATTTATACTTATATTTATCTCAATCACCCTAAATATACTTTAGTTTTTGTGTTTATTCAAAACATCTTCAGGTCATGAGTCCCACATATCCCCCACCAAGAAAGGGCGACCTGACATTCCATCAGAAGGTCAGTAATATGATGTCACTAATCCCCCACCCAACCTCCACCTGATGCTGAGGCAGGTCAGGTCAGGTCCCCCCAAAAAATACTTTTAACTTTCGTCTTTATTCAAAACATTTTCAGAAAATTCTCTTGATTTTCAACCTCAGAAAATTTTTGGAAAGTTCCAGCTTTGGGAATGATTTTCCGAGCAAATTTCAATTCCGGCTATTGGAGATTTCCTTGTTTGAGGGAAGCATGGTTGGGTAGGGTCTACTGTGCTGAACTCAATGATATATTTCTTCAGCAGCTTGTAATGGACTTCAATTTTCTAAAGAGAAAGTGGCACATACTCACTGATTTATGTAAGGGTTATTACGGTATTTAGGGACCAACTGTAAAGATAAGAAATTATGTACTGTATTATATCAAATACAGTGAACCCTCATCCAACGCTGGTTTGTTCAACGCACTTTTAACTATATGCGTTTAAATATGTATGACCAACAGTTTGCCCAACACAGAAAATTTATATATAAGTGGGTTCACAATGCGCCGCTTCCTCCCTCCACTCCACCTCTGCCATACAAGAGTTGGAGAAGCCCGCCAAGCAGCTGCTTCTCATCTCTCAGTCTCACTTTCACTTTTGTATCACCAACATTGTACTAAAGCGGTCTTGGAACTTTTTGTGTTTTTGCATTGCTTTGTCTGTTTGCCCTTGCAGTATGGCCCCAAACTTAAAGGTGATGCTAGTGATGGTAGCACACCCAAGAAAAGTAGAAAAGTGATGACATTTGCCAAGAAAATAAAGATTTTAGATCGGCTATGTGATGGTGCACACATAGCAACGCTTGCATGCGAGAACTCTGTAAATGAATCCACCATACTCACAATTCGTAGCTGTGAGGACAGAATACGTGCAAGTGTGAAAGCATCTACATCTCTTAGTGCTAAGGTAGTTCAAGTACCAAGGATGAATCAATACAGTAGGATTTCATGTTTCGTGACTAATTGGTACCGGTTTTAGCGTCTCGAAAGTTAAAATTGCGAAACGAGTGCCATTGAAATACATGTAAATAAGCCTAATCAGTTCTGTGGTGTCACCCAAACCCCCCTATAATGACATACAACCCACCAAGAAAATGACATTACTGTAATGTATTCATACATATTTTATTGTACATATTGTTACTAACAATATTTATATACAGTCATACTGTAGAATAACGTACCTTTATGGAGTCAGTGAAATGCTCGACGGGGCTGGTTGACGGGTTCCGAGGCAGGGAGGGCTGGTTACTGCTTCCTCCCTGCTACCTTCTCCACACCTCCTCTAACCTCAGCATCAAATCCCTCAAATTCTTGAGGCAGCTCTTCCACCAGTAAGTCGCCCAACACTTCAATATATCATCATCGGTGGTGCCATCATCATCTCTTAAAGTGATGTTTGCCAAGGTATTAACAGGCTGGGCTTTGCACAGGTACTGAGTAATAAGGGCCTGCTGACGTGTATTAACACGGGACATGTACAAGGCCTTATTTTCCTCCATACCCTTATCAAGGGTTCTGAGGATGAGGCCTGGTATTGTGTTGTTCTAGCTGTTCACTGAGACGTGCGATGTTTGTGAGCAACTCGGTCAGCTGCTGTGTTGTAGGTTCACCAGGCTTAACGTCATCCTCTTGTATTGGTTGCTGTTCTTGTTCTTCATCCTCCTCCAACATTTCTTCAATTGTTGGTTGCTGCTGATGTTGACCAACGTTTTCTTGCAAATCTTCAACCTGAACATCTGAAAATCCCGGTGCTGGGACTGAGCGCGCTGCCTCCACTGTGTCCATTAGTGTTGCCGCCATGGACTGGCTCTCCCCCCTGGCCGCGGTCTGTTCTGCCCCACTTATCTCAGAGTTGGCAAACAAAGGCTTCCATGCGTGTAGCACTGTTGCAACATTAATCTTATGCCATGCCTCAACAATTCTGTCCACTGCATGAATTCGTGGTCAAGTGAAGAGTGACAGTTTAACATTACTGATGAATTCGTGGTCAAGTGGCTGCAGAAGTTATGTGGTGTTAGGAGGAAGGAAGATAATTTGTACATTAGGGTGGCATACAATTAGAAACTTATACTCTCCAGGAGCATTATCCATCACCAGGATCACTTTGAAGGCAATGTTCTTCCTCCGGCAGTACTGTTGGGCATCAGGAACAAAGTGCTCGTCAAACCAATCGGTGCATAAAGACGTTGTAACCCAAGCTTTCTTATTAGACGTCCAATAAACATTGAGCTACGACATATTGGCATGACGGGAGGCTCTAGGACAGGCAACGGTTAACAACCATGGGTTTTATCAAGAAATCTCCACTTTCATTAGCTGTGAATAAAACTGTAATCCTGTCTTTTGAAGTCTTTACACCTCTTGCCTGTTTCTTATCCTTGGCAATAAAAGTGGTCTTAGGTGAGCACTTCCAGAAAATGCTAGTGTCATTACAATTGAAGATTTGGTCTCGACATTAACCACTCTCTTTCACAAGAGCTTGAAAGACAGGTGGATATTTTTCTGATGCTATGACATTAGCTGATGCATTCTCCCCATGGTAGTGGGTAAACTTGACTTACCAACCAACAGAAGCATTGAACGGTGGTGGAGAGTTAACGTGTTTCTTCTGTTCAACTGCAACATAATAAACACGTGCCTGATGCCTTATCTGTGGCTCAGACAGGTCGCCTTGCTCACGGTTTCTTCTTTCCATCCACTTGTGAAGGTAATGTTCTGTGATAACAAGCAGTAGGTTTCGTTGTGAAGTATCGGAGAATGTCCCGCTACTAGAAAATCTTGAGAAGACATTCACAGAAGCAGTTAAGGCTTCCTTGTTCTTCTTATTGGAACGTATGGTTGATTCGGAGCAGTTGAACCTATGCATGATTTCACAGGTATGAGCACCACTTTTGATCTATTCAAGCATCTCTCTTTTCGTTTCAGGGGTGTATTTCCTCTTCTTGACTCCCTTATGGTAGTCACACTTGGCTTGGGGCATTCCTTGTTGACCTTCTTTACGGTCATCATTACCACCAGAACCACTCCCGACATAAGAATCGTTAATAGTTAAACAAGGATCTCACGAAACTTAAGCTCAGTGGGTTATATAATCCAAGGTCACTGCATCGCTCGCTCATTCAAACTAACT